CTGTAATTCCGGTACCCTGGGAGGCTGAGACAGGAAGATTGTAATTCCTGCCCAGCCTAGGTAACTGAGTGACTTAGCTCAGCCTGGGCTACTTAGCTCCTTAGCAAGTCCAGGCCTAAAAATAATAAAAGCACTGGGGAATGTAGCTCAGTGCAGAGACTCTGGGTTCAATCTCCAGTGCTGAAATATTTTTTTAAAAAGTGAGAAGACCACTGTCAGTAAATAGAAACTCTTTGCAAATCATGTATCTAGTATCCAGAATTACAAGGAATACTTACAGTGCAGCAAGAAAGCAACACAATTTAATTTGAATAGCCATTTCTGCAAAGATGACCTATAGTACCTCGTTAGTCATTAGGAATGTAAATCAAATGTAAATCAAAACCACAGTTCTACCTCATACCAGTTGGGATGGCTTTTTTTAAAGGCTAACAGTAGTTGGCAAAGATGTCAAAAAATTAGAACCCTTCATATATTGTTTATGGGAATGTAAAAATCCTGCAGCTGTTTTGGTAGGCACCTTGGCAGTTCCTTGAAATGTTAGCCGTAGAAAAAGCTCAAATGTCCATCAACTGATGAATGGATAGAGATGTGGTTCTTTTATACAAAGCAGTACTACTCAGCCATAAAGAAGGATAATTTCGAGACATTTCTAGGTAAATGGATACACCTTAAGAACATACTCGTAAGTGAAATAAGTCAGGCACATGTAAAATACCACATTGTTTCTCTGGTGTGAGAAACCATAAGTGTAAATACTGGGAAATAGGAAGAAAATGTTTAAATAGAAAGGGGAACTAGGGAGGGAGAAAAGAAGGAAAAAATGGAAACAAAGCTTTTGTAAATAGGGGGAAGGGGGTGAAGAGAGGGAAGAAGAATGGGAGGCAAGAGGAATCAAGATATATCTTATACAGGACACATTCCATATGATGAATGTGGTCATTATATACCTAAAATATACCAATAACGGGCCAGGGAGATAGCTCAGTGGCACAGTGCCTGCCTGGCAAGCACAAGGTCCTGAGTTCGATTCCTGGTACCAAAAAAAATAAGATATAATTTAAAATGTACCAATAAACTTAATTTTTAAAAAATATTAGCTTATGTCCTGGAGAGTTCACTGCTGGCAGTAGACCCAAAAGACTTGAAAACAGGCTTTCAAACAAAAATGTGTCTGTAAAGTGTTATTCACTGTTGCCAAGTGCCCATGAAATGGTGAATCTATAAACATTATCCATCCAGTGGAATGCCATTTTCCAGCCGTGCAGGGGAATGGAGGACTGACGCACGCTGCAGCACAAATGAACCGTGGCAGCGCTGTGCTACGTGGTAGAAGTTAGTTACCAAAAAATCCTATATTTTATATTTCATTTAGATGTCCAATAAGTTCATCGAGATAAAAAAGGAGATGAGTAGGGCCGGGGATGGGAACAAGGAAGAAGGGAGAAGGAGTTCTTACTGCTAATGGGCATAAGAGCGTCTCTTGGGGATGATGGAAATATTCTGGAATTAGATGACTTCGTAATCTTGTGGATATATATTAAGAGCCACTAAGTGAACAATGAATTTTATAACATGTGAATTAAATCATAATTTTCTAAAAAAATATTCTGCATATTTGGCATCAAAGGAAACCTATTAAATTTAGAGGCTCAGAGTCATGCTGGTTGCTCTGGGTTTTTTTTGTTTTGTTTTCTTTTTTTGCTCTACTGTTTTTAATGCAGTAAAATTGGGAATGTAAAACAAAAAGAGTAGGTTAAATAAAACTGTATATGAAAGCTAACATTGCCAAACAACTCCTAGGTTAAAAGAAAATCACTTAAGGAAGTTTGGAAATAACTAAATGATGAAAGCATTGCCTATTGAAATTTTTGAGACATAGCTAAAGAAATATTTAGAAGGAAGCACATAACTTTAAAATACTTGCCAAGAAAAAAAACGGTTAAAAAAGAAATAAGCCATGTGTCTCTGTATTTCCTGGCTGGCTCTGAGGCAGTGAACCCCGTGGCATATGTAGTGTTCATGTACTGGTCCCCAAATACCACTGTCCACTAGAAGGGAGCAAGCCACGCGGCAGAGTGATTGATTCCAGGGCTGAGACAGGAAAAAATGCACAGTAAACCCGACATACCTGGTGGTTCCGAACGGTAAGAAATTGCCCAAAGAGGCTTTCCGTAGCTCTGTCATACTGAGAAATCTAATTCATAAAGCAGGAAGGAGGAAAATTGAAAATTTTCTTTCTTGGAGTGTGTCCATACCACTTGTCAAATAACAGTAATAATTGTGGGCAAGATCTACTGATGGAGAGAAAGCCGGGCTGGGGTGAGGATAAACAAGCTCTTCATCCTCAAAGATACAGAGTAACTCCCCGAGTATACTGAATCACAAAAAGAACAGTGGTGACTTACAGAGAGGAAGCTTGGCAGACACCGTGTGAGCAAAATTGTCATTCCCCAGGAACGACACGTGGCACATCCGCAGCACGCACCCTTGTCCTGATGAACTGAGAACAGGGCATGCCTTCTGTGCTGTTCTTGCCAAAAATGCGCCTCTCAATCTAAACATTAGAACATCCGCCCGGCTGTAAGACATCTGCAAAATTAATGACCAGTGTTTTTCAGAAGTCATGGTCATGAAAGTCCTTAGTGGAAGGACCAGTGGATTTGGTATAAGGTCTGCAGTTAACAGTATTATGCCACTGTTAATTGCCCAGCTGCAATATATAACATCACCAAGGAAATGCAAGAGATTTATGAGTTTTCATTTTTGTTCTATGTCTTTGCATCTTTGCAGCTAGCATGGCCCTCTAAATTCAGTAGGTTTCCTTTGATGCCAAATATGCAGAATACGTCTTTAAAAAATTACGATTTAATTCACATGCTATAAAATTCATTGTTCATTTAGTGGCTGGAATGTATAGGACCAGCGGTTCTACTCCTGAATTTGTGGGAATGCAGTCTCAGGCAGATCCATGTGAGAGCATTTACAGGGACACTCGTTGCAGCATTCTTTGTGGTAGAAAGACAGCGGGGGAAATCCAGGTGTGAAGTGATTCTGGTTACAGCATGCAGCAACAGAATGCTTCTGATACCAGATGTGTGGGGTCTTCACACGCACACAAGCACACACGCGTGTGTAGTTCTCCAGCAGACACCATCTGAATGTCCTGTCATTTGATTCAAATCTGACACACTGCCTACCTGGAAATAGTGTTGGATCCCACAGGTTAAGGGCTGCCCAAGGCTTCAGGTGTCAGTCACAAGTATCTAAAGGTTGTCAGCAATACTCCTTACCAACCAGCAATGAATTGAGCGTTCTCAGACCCCTCCTCAGATTTCATTTAATTACTAGAGCAGAACTCAGGGAAACTCTTTCAAGCTGACCATTTACTGTGAAACATATTTCTGTTTGTGGTGTTTTTTGTTGTTTTTTTTTTTTTTTTTGGTTTTTCTCCGGTACCGGGAACCGAACTCACGACCTTGCGCTTGCCAGGCAGGCGCTTTTGC